TTCCTGCTTTTGGAAATGCAAGACTTCCCAATGCCACCATGGCTGCTTCCTTTTGTCCCTCGGGTCTCCACGCAACTGCCCCTCCTCATACAGCCCTCCCTGACCACCTGGCAGCTGTTATGTCACATGCCATTGTGTTTTCTTCACATATGTGTCCTCAAATGTGGTCACCAAATGCAGTGTTTATTTAGCCTGGCCTACTATTTTATCCCTACTCACAGAGTCTACGCTGTCTGCAGCCCCATTACCAGGGCTTAGCATAGTGCTAGCCACAAAGAAGGGGCTCAGTTGAATGTGCTGGATCACAGGCCAGCCTCACCCCTCTGTCACCCAGACACCCTCATCCACATGCCCTACTTGGAGCAGCCGGCCAGCCCCAGTATTAACAGCTGATGGTTTTAATGCCCTCGATTAGCCACTGTGTCGGCAATCAGAGGTGCCTGCCTCCTTCCTGCATTGTGCTGGCTGTATAATTACACTTGATCACTTCACGATGATCGCTGATTGTGGCTCAGAGATGATTGGCCGCTTTCAGGCTGGTGGGGCTGGAGCCCTGGGCAGCCTAACGAGGGTAATTGAGGTAGGGCTGATTATGCCGGAAAGCTAGAGGGGATCGAGCCATGAGAACAGGCCATGGCACACCCCAAACGGGACGGCATTTGCTAAATTTGTTTCCGAAGCAATTTCATGGTGATTACACTGATTTCTTTTTAGTAACTGAGCTTGGCGCTGAGCATGACACCTGCAGCCCCAGCTGTCAGGACAGGCCCATTTTATAGCAGGAGGTATTGATTTATGACCTGCTGTCAGAGCCCTTGGAACGGAGATATTGTGAGAAGGCAGGCTGGAGTACTGCTGGTGTTCCCTGGGAATCTCCCTCTTAGGCTATGGCCTGTTTTCAGTCTAGCTCTGTCTCTTACCTCTGTGTGGCCTTGGGCAACACCTGTGTGCCCCCTCAACATCCTGTCTGCATGTTGGGGATAATAACCCCTACCTCTTCAAACCAGTTCATTCACTGGTTGAGCTCGGACAGTGGCTGAACGACCACTGGGCAATCAGCTTCTGTCATTGTCACTGCCTAGGGGTAGCCTGGAGATCAGGTACAAAGCAGATAGATAGCCCCTTTGGCGTCACACCTGTCTTCTCCAGACAGACCTGCTTCATCCAAAACTATCACATCCAACTTCCACGCCCACCCTCTGGGGCAGGAATGGTCCCTGTTGGGAAATGGAGGAAACCAGCCCAGAGCCTGCAAAGGCTGCACCAACACCTTCTCCATCAGAAATATGTCAAAATTTTCATGAGATGGAACAGCAGAGTCTGTGCTAGAAAGGCCAACATTTCCCAAACTGGATTCCTCCTCTGCAAGACTCCACATAAAAAACAGTGCTCTTGGCTGAGAAATGCTGGGACATGCAGCTTCAGCTCCTTCCTATTCAAGGTGGTATCCCAGGACTATGGCCTTAGGTCACAAGAGCTCATTGGCCACAAGCAGCCAAGCCACCCCAGGCATTCTGGATCACAGCCTGCATTTTAACAAGGCCCCCAAGGAACCACTACCCCGAGACATAACTCTGCTGCACATGGGAAGGCCCTGGGCAGCCTCTGAAAAGCACACTACCAGAGCCCCATGGACAACTGGACCTGGAGGGACTCATATCCTGGTGTTTTCAGGCTCAACATGTCGTTTCAAAGTGCCTCCAAGGTTCAGGACACCCATGGGTTTCCAGCACACAAGAGCAGTGTGATCCTGGTCCAGGCATGGGACTGCCGAAATCCTGGAGGCCAAGAACTGGCACCCACAGTCAGTATGGGGTGCTGTTGCTACGGACCATGCTGCGCGCCATTAGTACTCAAGGCCTGGCTGTACCCCATGGGCAAGAGTCCTAGCATGGCCTGGGAGAGGGTGCTCTGAGCATGGGATGTGCTTGCAGACTGCCAGCCATGTGCTCCCCAACCCCACCCCAGACCTCTCCCAGCAAGGTAAGCCCAGAGCCATGAGCTTTAGCAAAAATGTTTAATCTCTCCTTAATGTGTGTGTGTATTTACAAGTACTAAATCTGAAGAACAGTAAAATAGGAAATAGCCGTGTATTTACACAATCTGCTGGCTGAGCGCCCCATCAGCCACACTGCTCCTGCAGAGGCAATGGTGAGGGGTGGCTCAGGCCGGCCGAGCAAGCGCTCTTCTTTTGGGTAGGGGCCCTGCGGCATTAAAGGACAGCTAATTGTGGTCTGTCTGAAAAATATCTCTCTAAATATATCTATTCTAGCTTGTGTAGCACCAACATGAGCCATCACATCCAGAACTGGGAGAAAAACCAAGGTGGAGGCTCTCAGCAAGGTCAGACCAGGAGGGCGGGAACGACATTTGGGGCCCTCCAACTTGGGGTGTCCCCGGCCCTTCTGCCCTGGGTCAGGGAGTGCAGGGCAAGCTCGAGGTATATCGAGAGGCCCGGCTCCCAGACCAAAGTATGAGCCGTCCTGGGCACTCCTGAGACATACATAGGGAAGGGTGGCAGGAGCGGCCCCAAGCAGGGCAGGCCATAGCAGCAGTGTCTGGGGTAGAATGGGTGTCCCTGCACAGTACCCCATCCATGGCCCAGACTCCCCAGGCCTGGGACTGCAGAGGAGCCTTTGGGACAGTTGCGTCCACCCTCATTGCACAGAGTGGGCGCCTGCTAGACCCTCACATCCCCCCCAGACCAGTGCCAGAGCTTGGGATCAGAGCCACTGGCAAGATGCTGTCTGGAGGTGAAAGTGGGATGCCTGGGCCTGGCACCTGGGGTGCTACAGAGCTGGGAGGACTGTGGGAACTAGTGATAAGAACTCAGAGCCTAACTGCACAACCTGTCAGGAAGGACGGTGTGGGACCTGCTGCACTGGGGAGACAGCAGGCTTAGAATTAGCTTGATCAGCTAGCATGTAAACAGATATTGCTAAAGTGCTTGCGCCTGATAGGTGTGCGCTGTGCGGTGGGCCACACACCCTGCAAGGCCAGCAGCACCCCTCCTCCTCCCTCACCATGTACAGCCTCTTGAGGTGAGCAGGGGACCGGCTCTCTGTGGGCTGGGAGGCCTCAGGAAGCAGAGTTGGAACTGGATTCTGAAGTGGGCATTGCAGGAGTGGAGGCGCCCTAAACTGACCCCTGTGGAACTGGAAGAACAGAGCCTCAGTTAGAAGCCAACATCCAGGGAAGACTTTGGGGGAAACTAAGACCTACACCCAGGCATGGCTAGGCGACCTCAGAGAGGAAACAGGGATGCACCCAGGAATGGGAATCCAGGCCAGAGCAGTGGCAACCGAAATGTCAGACTGATCTCTACAGTGATCAGCCTCACACCTGGCCTGCCACATCGACCCAGGAACAAGCCCATGTAGGCTATGCTGGGGTCAGGGGCTGACTGAGCTCCAGTTGGTCATCCACAGAAGCAGGAGGCCCGAGCCCTGCTCAGTGCCCACAACAGAGAAAGGAACCCGAATTTCCCCAGTTCCAGGAGCTTCCTGAGTCAGTTCTCAGGTTTCACATTGCTTCCCCACTGAGGGAGCAGCCCCTAACCTGATCTCTGAGGTGTACGGTCTGGCTCACACTGCTCAGGAGCGGGAGGCCCAAGACAGACAGCCGTGGGCACAGGGCTGGCCACAGTTAGCTGTCCCTTAAAGTCCATGGGAATCTTTAGTACCATCAAAAAAGTGAACTTGAAGGGGGCCGCTTGTCTGATTTTACAAGTGACTAATTAAAAAACATAAAAAAGGGTCTAACAACCTCTAATATTCAACACTTGCAGTTTTAAAAAGATCAAGTCAGACTAAACGCTAGTACAGTCATGCAGGAATCCATAGCCCCTCAACCCGGAAGCTCTCGGGGTGGGGGGGGGGCCTGAGAGTTCTCTCTTTTTTACATCAAAACAAAAACAGGACAAACTGGTTGAGGGGTGGAGGCCTGGGATGCTCCGCTAAGGGAAACTGGCCACTTGCTTCATGATCATGTGGTATTGCTTTACCACTGCCTTAATTCTCTTACTCTAAATTGTAAAATTTCTCCTCCTCCAGTCAACTATATAGGACCCCACTGGGGCTGGAGACTAAGGCTAGAGCCACACA